GTAGTTTGAATGCAACGAAAAAAAGTGAAATTTCTATGTATAACAGAAACAACGTAATAGTTTTTCTCAATGTGACAGAGAATGCTATAAAGATGTTTAGGATTTTATGTCTATGTAGAAGGACAGAAGGGAAGGAAACTGTAGAAAAGTTCTATGTATCTTTACTACGCTCAATACCCTTGGTAAGAAAAAAACGAGAAAGTGTCTCATATTATTTTTGAATTTTTTTGTCTTTCTTTTGTAAATATGTGACCATTGGGTAAAGCCTAAATATAAATTTTGATTGGTAATGCCTTAAAAAAATAACCAAACTGCTAAAGCCTAGGGAGTCTAATACATGTTTTTATAGCAAACAATATAGTAATGACCTAGGAATGTAGGAGAAAGTGAATTGGCTTAAATTCACAGAGATTTCAGAGTAAAATTTACAATAATATTTAACAGAAAGAAATGTACTAGGATCTAAGATGACAACTGGAAATCTAGTCCACAGATACTCCCATTTAATCGTAGTCAACAAAGTCAGTATCTTCTCCCTTCAAAACTTTTACCAAAGATGTAAACAAGTAGTAGAACTGACCCATGCAAACTGAATCCCCTTCATAACCCAAGTGTCAGGATTAAGAAAATGGATAAAAGGTAGGTCCAAAGTACAGGTGCTGGATTTACTTTCAAGTAAGATCCCCTCTAAGTATACCATATGGGTAAGATGAATTGCTTAAGAGCATGAGGAATTTGGAAAGACCTTAGTAGTTTTAAGCATTTGGTCAAATATCAACATGGAGTAGACAAAAAAAAACACAGCTGTTTAACTGCTTACTTTTATACAAAAAATTCCAACAAGTTAATGTGTGTTTGTTTTTCACTTTCCAGTCCCTAAAACACCAAGAATTAAATGACAACTAAAGCTTCTGGTTCCTGGAACAGGTTACAGATTCATTCTCATGAGGTAGATTAGTCTCTGCATTACTAGGTGGAAATCTGGGCACCAAGTAATTAAGTGAACTTCTCAGAGTCACCCCAGAAATGATTAATAGCAAAACCAAGGCAAAAACCCAAGACTTTTTACTGGTCTGTATTGATAACTTTAGTCCAAACTGTTCTTCAACCTGATGTTAAGAAGGTGAACCAGGGTAAAATCAACACAGTTATTTGGATCTGTCTCTGGTATCGAGAATGGGATAAAATGTGAGAGAGAAACCAAGACTATTCACAGCTTTATGTTATACATACTGGCAGCATTAATTTTAGGTAATACAAAGCTGTAATGTCCAGTATTCTTCCTCTGATAACTGTGATGGGCATATCTTTTTGAGCCTGCACTGGCAGTTTAGTCCTCTCAACCATTTTTACCCTATTAACAAATAAAGGATCAGTAAGGATCTCTGAGGGCTCCTGCTGCACTTCAGAAAACAGAAAAATATTGTTGGCTTACACTAGACTTTTAATGGACTTGAAATAACTCCAATACAAAGGGAAAGGAAATTCAAGGTTAAGTTTACAATAATAATTACTTTAAAAGCTATGTACAAGAATGAAAACTGGAAATATAATCTGAAACAGTTATTAAAGTATCAGTAGAATCCTAAGCTTATTTCCTTTTTAGTTTCTTGAAAAAAATTTTAAAGAATCTAACCAATGTTATAGTTTTTTTTTTAATTCCATAAAGAAAGCTCTTATATCCCTATTTCACAGATGAAGGGGAGTATTTTTTGATGATCACTTTCTGTGTTAAAGAATAGCTTTGCAATATTTCAGGTTGATCTGAGGTCTCTCTATTCTTATTATGAGTAAAATAATAAATACGCTTAATTACAAAATATTTCTTACAAACAGATATAGCCTGTGACATGTAAGATATATACTCATATCAGATTTTAAATTTAACCTGCTCTTTGATCCTTTCTCACCTTTTTGGAAAGCCTTTAATAACAGAGCAGCAGTTTTCAGGGAATACCAAAGAATTATTTCTACATGTTTCCAGGGAGAATAGAACAATAGTGGTGGGTGTGGAAGGACAAAAGATTCTTGGCTTTACTGTTCTCTTTTTTTGCTCTAAGAAGCCACCATCTTAAAAACAAAGTCATGTTTAGAAGTTTCATCAAGGGAAGTGTTGAGAAGTAAAACAAAGTGCAATAATCTCAGTTTGATTACCCTTCTATGAACTTAGATTTCAAAACAAATATTTGAGACATTAACCAAATCATCCATATTGGTACATTCAAGTGCCATAAAAAGCAAGCTACATGCAAGATTTCATTAATATTGAGGGGAAAAAAACAGGTTAGGTACCCAAGTTGTATTGTGAAGTGAGAGTACACTCATATTTACTTCAGGGAAGCCTTAAAAATCAACATGCAAACAGAAGACACAAACTTGTCATGACAGAACTTTAGCTCACAAGGCCATCCATTTAAAAACAATTGATTCCAACACACATGTAAGAATAAACAGGTCTGAAGTCCATCAGAAAAACAAAATATATCGATATATATTTTAAGCTTATCATAATGGATAAATATTGCTTCTAGCAATATAATTACTTAATTCATAAAGAAGTAACACAGTATTTTCATTCAGAGAAGGATATGTTTATGTACAGATCTTGAAGAAATTTGTTATTCCAGGACTTTTAAAGATGGGCAGAATAGTCTGGAAAATTCAGCCCTGGCTGGAGGCTAAAGGGCACCAGCACCATTTTCCTTAAACCATCCACATTATACTTGTGAAAACTGCATTTAACCTTTGCAGATCTCTTTTATACACCAGGCAGGATAGAGTTGTTTGTCCCTGTACATCTCAGAAATACACGTAAGAAGGCCACAGAAGTCAAAAGCCCTTTTCTGAAAAAGGCCTTTGTATATACTGATTTGATATCTCAAGAAAAGGAGCGGTTATGGATTCATAGATTAAAATGTATCATTTTAAGGCTTTTGAAAGGTGAGCAAGTTGAAATTTTTTCTTTAACTACAGAGCCCATGCCACAGAAATAACTATAGACAATTAGGAAAATATTCCATCAAATGTTTCTACAGAATATCCTGCTTTGTGTGAAACATTGGAGAGGAGTACATAGCAACAGTAGGCAATAAGAACATGCAGGATAGAAGAGTTAAAGCTTTTGGGGAAAGTACCAACCTGCCATATGCTTAAATCAGATCTCCCTAAATTTGTTAAACTTCGGTGAAGAAAGCTGGCTTGGGCAATCCATTGCTACTCCTTTGTACCCCATGATACATATTCTACAAAGAGTAACATTTTATTGACAGAAAAATGAACACAAGAGCTGCCCTAGGACAGCGAACTATCAAGATCAGAGGGCATCACACACGAGATAACACGGTAGACGCTAATGACAAAGTTCAGTGGTTTTAGTCTTGACATTTCAGATGAGCACCCTGTTTTCCGATCACAGAAAGACCAACCACCAGACAGCCAATGCAAGAACCACGAGAAAAGACATCATGAAAGGAATACGAGGAGATGAAAAAGTACTAAAGTAGAGGCGGCACTTTTTGAGAGACTTGTGATCCTCAGGGATTGGAATAGAAACCTTGGGAAGAATTTCTTCATTTTCTTGCTGGGGCAAGGCTCTTTCAGTAGATCTCTCTTGCCTTTTAATTTTTTCTTCATCCTGCACTAACAGAGCACGTTCCTGTGTCTGCTTTCATGGTAGAAGATCAAGAAAGACAGAGAAAGATGAACAAAATGACAGATGGAAAATGCTCAAAAATGATACTTGGGGATGTGCAAAGGATTTGGGAAGATCTCTTAGAAAGCTTTTATTTTACTCTACCCTGGCAATTATTCTGGCAAAGTTTCTGTAACACAGTAGGGTACTCAATAGGTAATTTTTTGAATGAAGATTAGAAGTCCTGAAAGTTCAAGGAATCACTGGACTTTGTTAGTTATAGTATTTATTCTTCCTTTAACAATATTCACACAAATTTTCAGTCATTTTTCATTGTTTTGGTGCTGCCAATTTTTCTTAGGTCAATTGGGCAAAGCCAATAACGAAGCATTCTTCTTGCCATCAGAAGTTACTTTTATTACAAATAGAATGGCAGAATATAAAATGTTATCCTCATATCTCTTCATATAGACTTTAAAAACTGCAACAGTTCATTCAGTATGGAAATTAGCCTTTGCTCAAGGGAATAAAAATCTCAATCCTATACATTTTAAAGATTGCAAAAGAGAAACAAAAGTATAAAAGTTATATGAGCCTCCAGGGTCTACCAGAAAAAGAAAAAAAACAAAAACAAAACCCAGAAACCTAAACCCCATAAAACTCAATTATAAATTCCCTCCCCCTCTCTCTCTGAATTATGATTTAAAATAATAATGGCCATCATGAAGGTGTATACATCATATTAAGCAAATGCTTTTGATACTTTTAAGGAAAATTATTTTTTTCAATTGTCCAATTGAGAAGTTTTTCTCCCCCAGCAATTTCTGCACTCTGCCATCCAGTCAAGACACATGTTCTCTACGAAAGGAAAAACTTGGCTCTCAGTTCTCTCAGTTGAGCCAGCCTTCTCTGATCTGTTTGGAAGTTCAATACTGGTTCTTTGCACACCCCTAAGTGATATGTATCAGGGAGAAAGTAGCTGGGGGACTGATCAGCAAAAAAAGGAAAAAAGGAAAAGAAAGGATGCAAAATTATAATGATTTTCAAAAGAAATAAAGGGAAGAAGAAAGACAACATAAAAAGAATAGGGTACAATTAAATTCGTTTTCTCTCCGAATACATATTTACATCTTCATGCAGCTTTTCAACCAGCCATGCGCCGAAATAAGCAAATTGAAAGCTGCAAAAGGTGCAGCAGTGAAAATGTTATGTGTTAGGTCAAAAGGCAGTGGGTGTGAATTTACTAGTATAGCCAAAAGAAAAAAAAATCACTGAGCAGCTGCTGTTCAGTTCTGGGGGGATTATCTGCTTAGTGCCATGACAAGAGCAAATTCTGATTGAGAAGCACAAGTCATAACAGCAGCTTTACCTCTGGCCCACCAACCTTTCTTTCCGAGGGGAGGATAGAGGTTTTCTTCACCTGGTCACACACAAATTATATAAAATTCAGTTGCCTTGCAATGCAACAACAATACTGTCAAAGGTGGAAGAGGTATCCCCAGCAAACAGAAATATTGTCCTAGTTATTAAAGAAAAAGTAAGATATGCCAGAAAGTGGAATTATCCTATATAAATCATTATCACAATACAGTTCTTTTTTACTGCATTATTCATTTAGAGGGGTAATATTATAACCCTAGAGCTAAAGTACTCCCCACTGATCTAATTTAATTTATAAAAGTCATTTCTTTAAAAGTCCACGGAATGAAACAGCCATTCCCTCCCAAAACTAGCCCTGAGATGGTTTCTGAATGGTTTCGATTAAGACATAAGATATTTTCTGGAAATGGAGACTGGTTCAGATTTGCCAAACTTCATCCAAGAGGGTACCAAGTTACTTCTTCAAAGTAGTTGAGCATCTTTAATTACTTGCCTGGAATCAAACAGGAAACTTCTAGAAAATATGCAGTTATGGTTTGCAGATAGGGTTAACCAGGAGAGGCAGCAACAAGTGCTTTCTCATGGAGTCACAGACTTACAGAAAGCAGTCACTGTCTCAGTTCAAGGTACATCCTCTAGATCTGGAATACAGAACTAATGTCCATTTATACCAGGGAGTGGAGGCTGAGAGGACAGTGAATAGAAACACTGCACCCTATCATCCCTGGTAGCTCTCTTTAGCTGCCCATCATCATTCAGGAATTCTCCAGCCTTTTTGGTGAAGCTGGTTCAACTTCATCTGGAGAACTGTTAGCCAATTTTAATCGCATTTTGAAAAATATAAAGTGTATCCTTCGTGAACCAATTTTTATTATCTTCTCCAGTTCCAGAAACTAAATAATAAGTTGGATAGTTTACCATGAATTCTGAACACAAAAAACAAATACTTTTAAATTATTAAGACATCCCTTTACCTTTCTTAACTACAATTGCTGTTGTTTTGAGGGGAAAACAAGCATGTAATTTGAAAATCATTACAATCACTCATTGAGTCACTATGATTATTTATATACATTCTTAACCTGTATGAGCTAAAGAATAAGTAAAGAACTTTTTAATACGTGCTCAGGGTAACTTATAAGATATTTTCATTACACAGATTCATTTACTCAGGTACAGGATTTCCAAAACAGGTAATGACAATCACAATAGAAAAAGAGCAGCCCTTAAAAGGTATCTCTGGGTTCTTCTAATTGTGACTGTCTTATAAAACAGTGTATTAAAAGTTTGATGTTACTCATAAAGACAAAATAAATCATCAATAGTTCCTCTAAAACTGAAATATACTCATTAATACTTAGTATTCTGCGTTCTCTGGCCTAGGGGCCTCCTTGGTTTATTATATAATCATGGTCAACCATTCCAGACATTTCTAAGTTGTGCAAATGTTCAAACAAAGTTTTTAAAAAATGCTTATCCCTTTCCAATTTTGACATTACTAAATTTAGTAAACTCTCTGGTTCCCGAAGGCACAGTTTGAACATAAAGTTCCACTGGCTTATGGTCAATTCGTAAACATACACTAGCCAGAAGTATGCCGCTGCAGAGACAGTTCTCAGAGCTAATCATCTCCTGGTAGTTCTTAATGGCTCCCATAATTGGCTTGGGTAGTCCACATGACTTAAACAACAAGTTTTGATTATCAACGCTTTAAAGCTGGAATGAACCAAAGCTAAACTTCAGCTCTAAACTTTCAGATAAAAAATATCAATATACAAAAACACTTATTTCACTCATTCTCACAACTGGTCACATGGACAAAGTACTCACTCCTTCTCCTGTAGGGATTTGCCCATTGACGTTAAGTGTTCGAAAGGGAGAGTGAGTAGATAAGCGTTTATCCCATTCGCTAGGCCGTGGTTCTGGTACAGATTCCATGAAGTTCTTTTTCAGCTCACTGATGCTGGCATGATGTTTTTTGATCTCTTCTTGACTTTTGTCTAAATCCTACAGTTGAAAGGACAAAGATGCAAAACAATCAACACTCAGGGAAAAAAAAAACACACCAAGGGAAGCCCATCACAGACTATGTGCGTTGGCAGAAAATACACCACATCCAGGATAGATGTTATTAATCCATAGTTTGCATTAAAATTATAAATATACAAAATGGTATATTTGCTTGCTTTTTTTTAAACAAGGTGCTTTTCTTGGAAGCAGTGAAGCATCATAACTCCATACCTCTCAGCAGTTATATAATCCAGAAGGAGCTCACTCCTTAATTTTATGACTCTTCCTCCTACTAGGCCACACCACTAGATCTACAGTTCCTCATCCCAAGCAGGTAATCCCACAACTCAGTTAGCCTCAGCCTGATAGGAACTGATTTAGGCTCAGCTCAGGCAGGATGCAGACAGCAACAGGTAAGGAGTAATCGTTAAATGAAGGACATGGTGAAAGATTCCGATCCCACCACTGGTTGCCCTGCCTTGGTGAGTTGCAACTGCACAGTATCCCTCTATCTCTGCCTGGAGTTAGTTCTTCTTTCCTATTACTAGGTTGCTATTGCTGGTTTCTGGTAAACAGGAATAGCCCTTTCTTGATATAAGAATGTATTACTGAAATTCCTGGCTCAGGTTTCCGGAGAAGGTTGTTACTATCTCAGGGGTATAATACTGCTCATGGGTATGTAACAGAATGGCTTTTCTTTTTTTCATCAATACTATTCACAGTATAAAAGCCTTCTGTTTTCCAGCTTAACTTCAACCCTTAGTACAGTCCAAAATAGGGACTTTCTTCCAGTAACCATCAATAGATGGGGCATGATTTAATAAGAATTCATCAAATACCTTATATGTCTCCTTGACAGCTTAAAATAACTCAACTGTTCCAGCAGATCTGACAACTAGGGGTAAGCTCTCACAGGGGATATTCCAGGGAGAAATGATAAAAACTAGGTTAATAAAGCTAGAAATAATATGAGAAATAACATTCAAGTTTATGTAACAGGAGGCATATAACAACTTTCCAAAGGGAGATATGGCCAGAAATAATCTGGGAAATACAACTTGAAGACAAAAACTCAAATGTTCTTTGTGCAACGTGTTTCTTCCAAAAATCTCAAAAGATCTATGCTTGAAATCAAAATATGTGGGAGCCTGTCACTTGATGACTGCTAAAAATTCAGTGTTTATTATATATCAAGGCAGCTCTGTATCCAAGAAAAGCATAATACTAAATATACCTCCTAATATGCTATGGGAATTTTGGGATTAGTTTTTCTTTTTCTTTTTTTTTTTTTTGGCTTCGTGGGAAATGGCCTCATTTTGGGGGAAAAAAACCAACAACAACAACTGGAACTTATTTAAATAAAAATGTGTTTTAAAAAGTTTTTCCTGGGGCAATATAGGCTTCAATTAAGTAAATTTTTGTCAAAAGCAATGCCAAAGAGAAAATAGTTTATGAAAAAGAATCAGTGAGGCACATGACATAATTTTGATTCTGGAGATATTCATTCAGAAAATTCATTTACAGTCTGTTCTTTTTATTTTTGCAAACCATGTATATTTGCTTTGAGATCAAAGAGAAAACTAACCCCAAAAGAGCAATCCTGTAGCTCCCCCATTAGAGTACCTCTTGCTTGCTGGGATGAAATGTGAGTATAACTCATGAATATGGGCTTCAGAACATGGGGAAACAACAGTTTGCATTTTTGTTCTAGCTGGAAGCAAGGAAAGCATGTTTACTAGCTAAAGAAAAACATGAACAAGCTCGGTCACAGACTCAGTAGTAGGCTGAACAACTGAGACCCACCAGGCATGTGAGGCCCTGTGACCTAGCTCCTGACGAAATCAACTCTGCTTGGGCCAAGAAGAACTAAAGATATTTGGGAGGGTTAAAGGTGTGAATGCCCCAAAACACAAATATCAAGAGATGCTATGATAAAACCATAACTCTCTGGGTTAGCCTCTTACTATGAGAGACTGGTGATTTGTTACTCTTCTTGCCTAGCTTTTGATTGGCTTGCAACCTGAGAAAATAAATGTTTCAATATAATCAGTAGTTTCTGAGCGAGCTTTCTCCATCCCTCTTAGCTGGCTGTTGGAAACCTGTGGGGGCACAGAGTAAAATTAAGATCTCAAAGGGACCTGTTCCAAATAGAATTTGTCATAGACACTTGCTATGACGTTCTCTTTGGGAGATGGAGGAGGAGGCGGTAGATCTAAAAATGAACTTGACCTTATTTGTGCCAGAACAAAGCATTAGTGGAGGTGGGGTAGGAGTAGGGGGAGGACGGAATGCTTTAAAAAAAAAATCTGCTAGAGTGACAGATAACTTGAGAGAACTTCTTTAAGGCGGGAAAAAAACTCACAATACTAAAGAATGATGGTTAGCCAAATTACTTCGGCTGGTTTCAGGTTAGACACACTCTGATGCCTATCATCTTATAATTTTAGCAGCAATCAAAACAAACACTTCATTAAATATAAAATATTCTCAAAAGGTAGTTAGTAGTTTTAATTTTCAAACACACACTTTTTTAGAAATCCCCTCTCATGGCTGTCAGTGAAATGCTGGGAAAAACATCACACACAGGGACTTTGTGAGTCTCAGAAGCCATAACACACCTCATGGAACAAAGGACAAATATATGATCGGTACTGCAGGTTCCAGTTAAGAGGAAGCACTAAAGATGGACTAGTCAAGAAGCTGACATGTTTGGAACTGGGAGGTGTTACACTGCTGAGCACAAGGAGATCAAATGACATCTGTCATTCTTCCTAATCTCAGAAGAGAAACCATTCAGATCTAGTTTCAGCTATGGGTGAAAGCAGAGATCTAGTTACTAAGTTTGAAATATCCTAGGGTCCAGCCTAAGAAAACTTCACATTACATGAGGTAAACATATATAAAGCACTTGGTATTGTACTCACCACACGGTACATGATTAATGAAAGCTGGCCATAATTTTCATTATTTTTATCAAAGTACCTTACATGTAGCAGGCATTCAAAATACATGTATTGATAAAGAATAAGAGGAGGTTAAGTAATTATTGGAGGCCATTAGAGAGCTATCTAAAAAACTTTCTTCAAGCTTCCAGTTTTAACAATATTTAACACATTTAATATAAGTTCATCTTTCAGGTCTCAGCTAAAATGTTACCTCTTCAGAGACAGCTTCCCTGTCCATCTTTCCTAATAACTTGTAATCATTTTATCAGTATTTATTTCCTCATTATTTCTCTTCTTCCCACTTCCCCACCTTGTATACTTCCTGAAGGCAAGAACCATGTTTATCATCTTCCTATATATTTAAGTCCCTGATGTCAGAATTTATACCCATTTCTTTTGGTTCTGCCTTGAGTGGAGTTGTAAGATAATTAGGTCATCAGCTTCCAGGTAAGTTTTTCTGAGGCATAAACTAACATGGCCTATTTTTTCACAGAATAATTTCAGTTTCCTTAATTTTCTCCTCATTGAGTTCCTCTGATCTTCTAAGTTGTATAGTTCCTTATCCAGTGTGGAGCCCAGAACTAGATAAAGTATACTAATATAGGTCTGGTGAAAATCTGACCAATGCTGAGTATAACGGGAAAATGACCTTGTAATTCCTATAGCAAATAGTAGTTTCTATTTCTGAATGGAAAAAAAGTGTAGTTTAATAGAGTTAGATGGACCCTAACTCAAACCTCAGCTTTACCAATTTACCAGCTAGCTCTATAACCACAGGGAAATTACTTAATTAAGCCTCAATTTTCTCACCTTTAACATAAAAATCCCATACATATAGGCCTGTTTTATAATTAAACTATCTTATAACATAGTAACTACTCATTAAATGCTAGCCTCCCCTCTTTCTTTCCTGTATCTTACTTTTTCCCTCGATCGTTCTTCTGTCATTTTCTAGTATCCCCCAAATTTTAAGTCCATTTTGAATTGTGATCATTTCTCCTACTTTTCCACACTCTCTAGGTTCAGAACATGAAAAAACTGTACAAATTTGATGCTTGAAACATATAGAAGTCTATACTCTTGGAAAATTCAAGGAACTTTTAAACAGTGATGTAGTACTTTCTAAAAGTGGGTAAAACAATGGAACCATTGAATGCAGAGGTAGTCCCAATCATATATTTTTTAGATAAGTATGAGAGATGGAAACCAAAGAGCCAAAAGGTGAGATGGTTGCATATATTCATGATTACCAACATGCAAAAGCATTTGAAACCTAAAATTCTCTCATGCAATGGCATGCAAAACCAAATGCAGCACAGAAAGACGGGGGATCAGCAAAGTATGCAGAAGGTTACAGGCAACCAACTGAAATTAGCTTCAAGTTCATACAAACCTCCAACATTAAATTGCTATGTCTGATATAAATGTTTTCACCATCTAGTCTCTCTCTCTTTTTCTGTGAAAATGAAAGAGGGAAAAACAGAAAAGCATAAAAAATTAAAATGTTGTTCTTGCGGGAAAAAACTGCAAATTGGCAAACCAAAAAAAAATTTTCTTTAAATTAAATGTCCACAGCGCAGCATATGCCAACATAAAATGGTCACAGAATCACAAGGACACACAGAGGACATGATCACCACTAGAAAATGGATGACTCTGATCATGAATGATGGAAGAATGTGATGATGTTATTTAAATAGACAGTGCTCCTGGCTTCATTGGCTTCTTACATAACAAGCTGTTTTATGTTCATTTTTGAAACTGAGCTGTTTGTGGGTTACCTTAAAATGCATGACTTTAAGAAGCTTTGAAACTCCATGATCCACAGAGTAGAGAAATGCTTTAAAACATTATTTAGCTTTTTGGATATTATTTCATACTTAGTAATACTGTAGTATGTGCATCTCTAATATCTTTCATAAGAAAGATCTAAGGGCACTTTATACCCAATCAGTCAACATGCTATTCAGTAAGAACTAATTCATCCCACTCTATGGTTGGGAAGAATAAGGCACAAAATGGCCAAACCTACAATTATTAGCAATATTTGGAGTTGCTGCTATGATGGTTTCCATAATAAATACACATAAAATACTGTCTGATTCCAAGCATATGGTGCCATTGTTAAGTATTTCTTACAAAGTTTAAATATAAAGGATAGATTTGGCCTTCACTAATTATTTGTGTTTAAAAATATTTCCCTACTGTAAAGTTTATTCTAACAAAATTTTTCAATATGTGGTATAGGATTATAATTTCTTTGACATACATATGTTTTTACATATATGCATATACATACGTATATGTATATGTATCTGCTGTTTGTAAGTAATTTCTGAGTAAAAGAAATCAATGAGAAGAATGGATCACTGTCTTTTTAATGCACTGTTAAATCAGCATGGGTGATGCTAATGCACTTTTGTGAAAGTGAAAAATGGCTAACCTTCCTCATTCTTATCAGATCTTCAGTTTTTTCTGCAAGCTTCTGTTTTGCCATTAATAAAAAAAGAAAGAAAAATGATAAAATATTGGTTCATTGAAGTTTTTCTGAACCTTCATTTTGTAATTTTTTTTAAGAAGTGGGGAGTAGGGGAGAAGAAAAAATTGAAGAGGGAGAGGAAAAGGAACAAGTGGCCTATTGACACAAACCTGTGTTTGGTCACCATTTGAGGTGGGTACTGTGACCTCGATGTGGGTTTTTTCCACCTATATTTAAGAAATAAAGTGGTAAAAACATTTCAGGTT